AGAGAGAGAGAGAGAACCCAACCTAACTAACTGTGCGCCTCCCCCCCCTTCCCCCCCCCACATGATCAAGTGTAGCCGATCCTCTCCCCAAACCATCAAGCGTAGTAACTGCTCTGTTCAGTTTCATATCTGATGCGTGGTCCATCGAGACCTTTCTCTTTAATAAAAGAAAAAAAAGCACGCTCGTGAGTGAGCGAGCGAGCAAAGAGAGAGGGAGAGGGGGTGTTACATACCGGTGATTTCATCAACGAGCATGGGGCAGAACCAAAGATCAACCAATATAGGAAGAGCATGTATGCAGCGGAAGTCTGATAAACGGACTGACTCACACAGATATCACTACACACACATACAATCGTGAGATGGTGGGGTCTGAGCCATGCATAGACGATGCTCAGGCCCCGTACACACATGCACAGATGAAAGGTGGGAGGAGAGACGAAGGAGGTGGGAGATGTAGGTAGCACCAGATGTCACCGAGATAGAAACCAGTAGGTCACCGACATGGTAATCCAAAATGTCGTTGAACAAGATCAAAATGTTGCGGACAATAAGTCACCAATGTCGGAGATACAGAGTCCTAATGTAACCGGTGTCCAATCTGTGATGTAGCCGAGTATCATCCCCAACAATCTCCAAGTCTCGAACCCGGTAAGTACCACAGCCTCTTACCACCGAAGTCCAACACGGATCTCTGTCCAACTAGTATAAGTCTCCAGTCTGAAGAAGAAGAAGAAGAAGAAGAAGAAGAAGAAGAAGAAGAAGAAGATGAAGTCTGAAGAAGAAGAAGAAGAAGAAGAAGAAGAAGAAGAAGAAGAAGAAGAAGGGAGAGATGGCAGAGGAGGAGGGAGTGAGGAGGAGGACCAGGAGTCGTGGAGGGAGGAAAGAATCCTCAAACTCCGGATACCTGGGTGCTGCACTGGTTGGTGAACGGCAATGGCTGCCGTGCTGCTGATGAGTGCCGTCTCCTCTCTCGCTGCTGCTGCTGCGCTAGTTCGCGCTACTGCTGCTGCTCCCTGGTGGTGCGCTAAAAATAGCGCTGATGCTGCTGCTCCTTTGCCAACCGATACGCACCAGCATTATGCTGGTGGCTCGATGCCTCGAAGTGAGGCCGGACCAGTACTAAGTACTGGTTCGAAGAAGACCGGCCTCAATGCTGCGAGGCCTCGGTTGGGTCTGAATCGTCCAGATCGACGATTCAGATCCGACCGGAGAGCGGCCGCCTCAAGGGCGCCGCCAGGCCCAAAATGAAAATGTCGTTTGGGCCTGGTCCGTCGGTCTGGTCCAAGTCGCGGCCTTTCGGCCTGATAATCCCCAAGGTCGGGCCTTTAGGCCCTACTGTGTCCCTCTAGCCCTAAGTCGGGTCCGGTAGGACCCGTGTGGCATCGAAGATGTAACACACTCCCCCTCTTAAAAGACCGAGCTACTTGCGAGGGCGGAGTTGTCTGTCCGATACCAGGATGGGTCGGGTGGGACGAGCTGCTTCCTTGGCAAGGCGTCGCTTCTCATAGTCGGCGAAGATGAGGGGTGCAAAAGTCTGCAAGTCTGCAGTAGAGATCCACCGAGTGTCATCAGGCGCACATTGCTTGAATGTGACTTTGAACTGCATTGGCTTGTTGCCATACTCGCGGTGCGTGATGACTCGGTCGACTTCCTGATGTCCGTCCATAGAAGGCAGATCCTGTGATCGACGGCCGGGAAACTCGTCGGCGGAAGGTGGCGTGTAGATGGCCAGCTTCGACGCGTGGAAGACCCGGTGCACTGGAAGGTGCGGGGGAATGTTGACCACAAAGGAAGGACCTGCGGGGTCGTCTCCAACGGAAGAAGTGACTTCCCATGGTCCGAACCATTTCGGAAGGAGTTTGCGCGAAACGTTCTGCTCGAGCACAAATTCCTCGGAGAGGACCCAAACAAAGTCTCCCTCGCGGAAAGGACATGGAAGTCGACGTCGGTTAGCTTGCTGCTGCATGCGGACCTGAGCCTTTTGCATATTCGCGCGGGCTTTGATCAGCAAGTCCCGGTACTTCCGAACGGAAGCGGGAGAGCAAGGGACGTCCATGTCGGCGGCCTGTGGCAGAAGGAGATCAGCGAAGATCCGTGCTTTCTCTCCACCATGATGTAACTCGAATGGTGTGACGCAGATTGCCGGGTGCACCGAAGTGTTATAGGCGAACTCGATGTCGGGAAGCCGGTCAACCCAATCTTTTTGGTCGGGATGGATGAGCGTACGCAACATCATCTGAGCGGTCTGGTGTGCTCGCTCCGTTTGGCCATCCGTCAGCGGGTGTCGAGCCGAGCTCGGCTTCATTGTCGTACCGGACTCAGCCATAAGGGAAGTCCAAAAAGCTGACATGAAGCGAGTATCTCGGTCGCTCACTATGTCTTCCGGAACACCCTGGTTGGTAATCCAACCGGTGTGCAAGAGTCGTGCGAGCTCAGGCGCTGCAGCATGATACTTGCAAGGAAGGAAGCGAGCATACTTGCTCAAACGGTCAACGACCGTGAGAATATCGTCATGGCCATGGCGATCGCGGGGGAACGGGCCTGTCACGTCCATAGCAATGGAGAGGCGCGGTGCTCGAGGAATCGGCTACGGTTTCAGTTCGCCGAAGGGGACTCGAGATCGACCCTTGTTACGGTGGCAAACTGCACATGACTCAATGTACCTCATGACGTCATGAAGGACGTCGGGCCAGTGAAAACGCTGGCGGAGGCGTGCTAGTGTGCGGTTCACGCCAAGGTGTGCCGAAATTCGTGCATCGTGGAATTCGCCGAGAAGACGAGTCCGTAAGATGCGATCTTGGGGCACAACTAACAAGTCCTTTCCTCTCGTGTGAAGGAGAAGGAACCCGTCGGAAATCCGATAGTGGCTAGCCGGCGGGTGATCCGATGAAAGCTCCGCGTAAAGCGTAGAGTAAGTCGGATCGGACTTGTAGCCTTTGACGAAATGCGGATGCAGATCGTCATCGAGGTCGAATGTCGTGGTCACAATGGAACAAAAATCGGGCCGTCGTGAGAGGGCGTCCGCAACTTGATTGGCGGGACCGAGAATGTGGCACGGGTCAAAGTCGAACTGGTCGATGTAATACATCCATCGACCGATCGTGCTAGTGACCGTATCCTGCGTTTTGTAAAAGGTCAACGGATTGTTGTCCGTATTCCATTTAAAACGCCAACGACCGAGAAGAAAGTGGCGCCACCGTTTGAGAACGGTGACGAACGCGAGTAGCTCTTTCTTCCTAGCGTCGTCGAGAGTGTTGACGAGAGGCACCTTYTGGGAGAAATACTCRACCGGATGCCAACCGTCCTCGTGACACTGTTCCARCACCGCACCAATACCGTATCCCGAAGCGTCYGTAGTCACTTGGGTGGGWAGGGTGGGGTCGTAKATACGGAGGGCAGGTGCGGCTTGCATCGCTGCCTTCAACGTAGTGAACGCGCCACGGGCTGCGTCGCCGAACTCGAAGGGCACCTTCGGGGACTGAAATCTCGACAAAGGAGCGGCCACTTTCGAGTATGACTCGACGAATCGCTGATAATATCCAGCCAAACCCATGAAAGAGCGTACATCCGTCGTGCAACGGGGTTCCGGCCAATCCACGATGGCTTGGATCTTGTCCGCTAAGGGACGAATGCCTTTCGGCGTGACAAAATGACCTAAGTACTCAAGCTCCTGCTTGGCGAACTCGCACTTGTCGAGATTCGCTTTGTACTTGGCCAGTCGCAAACGATCCAAAACAGCGCGAAGGTGTATGATGTGCTCGTCCAATGTCCTACTATAAACCAAAATGTCGTTGAGGTAAATGAGGACGCTGCGATCGAGCACGTCGCGAAACTTAGTCGTCATAGCTGCTTGGAAAGTCGCGGGGGCATTGGTGAGGCCAAATGGCATGACAACCCACTCAAAATGCTCGTACCGCGTCTTGAACGCGGTCTTGTACCGATCTTGAGGCTGGATTTCAATCTGGTGGTAACCCGACTTCAAATCCAACTTCGAGAAATACGTCGCGCCGCCTAACCGCTCAAGGAGATCATCAATCCGAGGGAGAGGGACGGCGTTCTTTACGGTTTGTGCGTTAAGTTTGCGATAATCGATGCATAACCGTAGATCTTTGTTCTTCTTCCGGACGAAGAGAACAGGKGCACCGTATGGCGAGCAACTAGGGCGAATCCAACCCTTGTCGAGAAGGTCATCGAGTTGTGCGCGAAGCACCTCGAGTTCCTCTTCGCTCATGCGGTAGATACATCCACGCGGAGGGACGGCGCCAGCCTCGAGAGTGATCCCGTGACGTATGGGCCGATCCGGAACCGTTCCTGTGGGAGCCTCGAAGACGTCTCCATACTCGTCGAAGAGGTGAGTGATGCGTGGGTCCGGCGGTGACACGGCTGGTCCGTCCGGCGAGGGGAGAGCATGCAAGAATACAAGGCCCATCTCCTCGACGTCATTCCGAGCTATGGCGTCGCGAATTCTCGCAACGGAAACCACGTGACAAGCAATCGAAGTGTGAGGGGTYGCGACCGTACATGGGACTAACACTCYGTTCCGATCACGGATGTGAACGGTTCGGTCATGRAAGTTCACCGGATGATCGGCGCTACGCAACCAAGACATGCCTAGAATCATGTCGAACTTGGTGTCGAGGATGTCAAAAGACACCGGCTCGCACGCAAGTGGCGCAAAGTATACCGAAACGCCGTCGACGCATCGGTCAATTGACTTTTGCGTGCGGTCATCCGCGAGTGTAACTTGCGTGGGTTGCGTCTTCCTTCGAACGCGCGGGCCAAGGCCTGCGCGGGCCATAAAGGCTTGGCTCATAAAGTTGCGAGACGCTCCACAATCAATCAAGGCACTACAGGTTGCCTTTCCGATTTGAATGCGGATATAGAGCAAAGGAGCGTCGGTTTCGGCGTACCTTTGGGTGGCATACTCGCGGTCAACTTCGCAAGATAGGAGCGGAGATCGACAACCACTACCCCGTCGTCCGTCAACGGAGCTGGTACTGTAGTGTGCAGATAGGATCGTAGATTTGCCATCAAGGCGTTGCAATGCGGCCTTGGCAAGATTCCGGTTGAGGGTAGAGGCATCCAAGCGAAGTCCTCTCTCGTGAGCGGGTCAAGCTCCTCAAGTTTTGACCACGCCGTCGAGTCCTCGGAAATCAGTGGCGAACTGACCGGATCACTTGCCGACGGTGTACAGGCTGCGCATACGCAATCTAAGTGCACGTGGCTCGGCTGGTCTAGTGGTGGTACCAGCTGGGCGGCATAATCCTCGTACGTAGCACGAGAATCAGCGACTAACGCATGCTCCCCGGTAGTGACATCGATTGCTAGCAAGGCAACCGGGTCCGGCGGAGTGAGGAGAGACGTCGCCCCTCTCCTTGCGTAACTCAGTTTCCCGAGTTAGCTGGACGGGGTATGCGTGCCTTGCCCTTTTCGGGGCATTGTGCGGTCAAGTGAGTGACTCCATTGCACCAAAGGCAATATCGACGTCGATGTTTGAATCATCTTACACCATTGTCATTAGCTATCTGGTGGTTAGATGATGGGTCAATTATTTCACTAGGGTGAAAGGGAGTCTTATGTACTGATGGTTTCCGTACGGTTGACGAAGGTCATAGATTTCCTTGGTTATCTTGTATGCCGTCCATGGCTGCTGCCCAGTTCCCGTCGATGTCGTCTCTTGTGTCGCCTTGTTCTTCCGAACTCTCTTGGGACGCTTCGGCGGGAGCGCTGCTTCAATTCCTCCATCACTCGAGGATGCTGCTGCAGCGTGGAGATCGACTGTTTCATCAGAAATCACGGCATTGTTATGTGCCGGTCGTTGATAGCCCTGCTTAGCCACATAATGCGGCTGGGACTGCCGTTCGTTTGCGGCCTTGTCATCCGTTTGGAGTACCGGTTTTTGGTCCCAACTTCCAAGGGTATCTTTTCCAATTTTGCACTCAGGGCCCTACTGAGCACTATGCAGACAGCCAGCATAGCTGACTGTCTGAGAGCCAGACCAGATCAGACACACTAGCTGAGCAGATGGACCCGTAGCATAGCCTCTCCCTGGGACGCCATATCTGATTGGGTCTGGTGGTGCAGGAGGACTTCAGGCCAGCACGCTAGATCGCGCACCAGAGAATACGTGGGAAGGGGTGGGGAGATGGTGAGGCACACTCGGTAGACTGAGGAGTTCCAGACGGAGGTTGGCACGTTGCTGACTGAACTCCCGACATATATTTATCACATCTTATACTGGAGAGCGAGCAGTAGGAATGACTGAATTCGCACAGTGCATTCTTGAGAGGTGACAACAGAGAGAGAGAGAGAGAGAGAGAGAGAGAGAGAGAGAGAGAGAGAGAGAGAGAGAGAGAGAGAGAGAGAGAGAGAGAGAGAGAGNAGAGAGAGAGAGAGAGAGAGAGAGAGAGAGAGAGAGAGAGAGAGAGAGAGAGAGAGCTCCATAGCTAAATGCTGCAGGTAGGGGGGAGATCAGTCCACGAGTCGAGGCCACTGGGGGCCATACCCAAACTATACAAACTAAATTTATTCCAAGTCGTCTGACTTCAGCTGGTGTCAGCCTGCCTGTCTCTGTATGTCAGCCTGTTTGCATTTGTGTATAGAAATACCTCACTCTGTCTTCATTCAAAGATCTAAGCTGATTATACTGGTTCTTTGGCTCTAATCAAGTGTGTGGATGATCTGGACCACCTGCCCAGTTTCCACTGGATTATTATTATTATTGTTATTTTTGGCAAAAGCAGGAACGTTTCATTAATAGAATAAAATTTGAGGCCGGTGACCTCACGATTCTACCTGGAGTTGTCCTGGCAGCATTAACCAGTTTCACTTATGATGTGACCACTGACCAGAAAAAAAACAGTTTCCCACAGAATCGAGACTTGAAAGGAGGAAGATGCCCTCAACAAAAGCCAGCCTAAATCTTGCTATCCGTGTCCTTCCTATTGTAGTTCCCCCTGAGTCCTCAGCTGTTCTCCTATCCCTAAACCCTAAGCCCAACTGAAGCCCCTACCCTTGTACCCCCTTTTAGCATTGGTGCCGGCTCTCCGGTACAATCCACTTCCCAATTCTTCTGTGTGTCCTGTCCTCACATCCTTGCTGCAGCTTTCTCAAGTCTGTTGTGTTTTTGTTTTTCTCTCTCCTTGTCCATCCCCTTCCCTCTCTGTCTCTGTCTATTCTCTCGTTTGCATTGAGCCTCACTGCTCGTCAACTTGAGCACACACGCACACACACACACACACACACACACATTGAGAGAGCACACGAAGTCCACACTGGAGACCAGAGATGCAAAGTCCAGAATAGCGCAACTTAGAAATTCCAACGAATTATCATATTAAACAGTTTCGGACCTCCAGTCACCAAGCTCAACAGGGCAGAGTTCAGCAAACCATATCTAGCATCCGCATCCGGGTAGGTGACTCTCTTCTCTCTCTGGCTCATTCTTTCTCCCTCTCTCTCTCTCTCTCTCTCTCTCTCTCTCTCTCTCTCTCTCTCTCTCTCTCTCTCTCTCTCTCTCTCTCTCTCT